GATAATGACAGGGCTTATCTCACAGGGTTGTTACAAGGATTAAGAAAGTTAATCCACGTAAAGTTCTGAGGACATTGCTGGCACAGGAAAGCAGAGTGCTGGGCCTTTTGGCTTGCCCTCCCGAATGTAGCAGCTCATTTCTCCTAAGAATACATCCATTTCTAGGGTACGAAAGAATCCCCAGAGAGCGGAGAATAATGGAAAATGTGAGTGTAAATTTCTTTTCATGGGCACTCCCCACGACAAGAAGAGACCTTGGCATTGAGATGTGGGCGCAGACAGTCTGCAGCCTCCACCAAAAGATCCTAAAACTCAGCTCTAGGCTGCTAACCAAGACAATCAGGAAGAAGACCTTGCCTCTTCCAAAGGACAGCTCCTTTGAAAGGCGGCTAGGAGCTGAGCAAGGGATAGGGCTAGAGCTCAGTGGTAGAGATTGCTTGCCCAGCATGTATAGAGTCCTGGATTCAATCCTCATGGGGAGGGAAGATCAAGATTAACTTTTTAAAAAGCCCAAAGAAACAAACATGCACTTAATAGAATGTGAGAGATGGAATACTACGCTTTGTAAAGCTTGGGGAAAGGAACCCACTCCCCTTTCAGTCCTCACGGAGTCAGTCAGCTCCATTTGTCGCCCTCAATGGAAACAGAAACCTCTAAGTTGTCACTGTGGAGGCCTCGGAGGCCTACAAGAGTCCTCTCTCCATAGTCCTCGCCCAAAGCAAATGTATACATCAGTTAAATGTGGTAGTCATTTTGTCTATGATGCCAAAGTTCACAATGGAGAACACCCTTGAAGCCTCCATGTTTTTACTTATTTTACCCCCAAGTGCTACCTTCTACACTGGCTGTCTCTGGGATCCAGTTTATGCTGGTGTCCAGCATCTACCCTTCATTATTTCAGGGACACTGTGAGCCAGCTTCCCCACTTATATCAATGTGTCTAGATAAGTGTGTAGTTACCAAGTGAAATGCCACTCCAGAGTTTCTTTTCTTTAGTTTCAAATATTTGAACCCTACAAAAGAAAAAGCACATGGGTGCCGGCACTGAAGACTTCTTGTGTGGTCCTTTCTGCACCCCAATACAGACCAAGCAATTGAAAGAAAGTTTCTTAGTTTTCAGCATTTTTTGTTTGATTGTTTTTTCAGAGTGGGAGTGTTTGCCCTGGGCCTGTTGTTGCCTTATTACTACTTAATATCATGTATGAATCATGAGAATCGACAACATGGAGACAGGGGGGGGGGGATACAGGTAAAGAATACAGGGAGAAGACAGTGCTGACTCAGCAGCAGGGTAGAAGTTGCCTTAGTTTGCTCAACAGTCAAAACTAAGGGGAGATCACAGGGTAAGATGGAAAGGGAAACCATATATTGATATAGGACAGAACTGGGGGAGATTGAAAAAACAAAGACAAAGCAAATAAGTGTTGAATAGAAAAGATTCCTCAAAAGAGGAAAAGCCTAAATGCTGAAAGAATTAATCACAATAAGTACTTCAAATGCATTGGGCTGAAGTCCTGGAGCTTTAAGAATTATCTGCTTGGTTCCCTCTAATTCTAAGCACTTTATGCCATGGATTCCTAGAATACTGGGAATCACTGTGTGTGTGTACGCACACACACACACACGCACACACACACGGCAAAGAAGCAGTGACAGAGAAATCAATTTACAATGTAAATAAAGTGGACTGTTTCCATCTCACGACTTTCATCCCCTTGAAAACACCTAACATTGCCATACAACAATCTGGCAGCTGTGGAATGTTCTCCACTTCACAAAGCAACTTGCTACATCCAGTACATCCAGGAACTAAGGAGGGTCTTTTCATTGGTTTTGCTCAGTGAAGTCCACCAGAGTAGCAGGGTTTTTTGTTTTTCCTTTCTTTCTACCTGAAATAAAGAAAAGCCACCCAAGCTTACATTTCTCAAAGTTTGTAGATACAGAAAGTAGCGCCAACTGACTGGCTGACTTCATTTCTGTCACAGCTGGAAGGCTCTTGCAATTATCTAGGAAAGTAAATCTCCCATTTTGAAGGCTCAGGGGTCTGGTGGTGGTGAGCTGCACTAACTCTTTGGAAATCCTCAGTGGCTAGAAGCATGTCAGGGCTGGGGGTCTGCTGACCACATACTGACTGTAAACGAACCAGAGTTCTGCTTCTTATCAGCCCTAATTTACCTGGTGAGGAGAGGGGCCATTTTACCTTCCCTGGGCCTTGTCCAGAGAGACAAAATATTTTTATGACTTCATACTGTTTACACAATCATCTTAAAGGGCCACAATAAAACGAACCTTAAGTCTCAACACCTTCTAAAGTCTCTATGAAAGCTGTACACATGAAGTACAGTTTAAAGTGCCGGAACTGTGAGTGTTACATAACAGTTCTCTAGTGTTCTATAGTTCTGGTAGTACACCAAAAAAAAAAAAATGCTGACAAGTGTTGAAGGAACTCTTGTTAGAAAAAAAGCTTCAGCTTGAGAAACCCATCCTGTATTGTTTCCTTGACTTGAACAAATGATGGCCTTTGGTTTCATTTTCTGGCCAGCGTGAGAAGCTGGCCACAGTTTGGAAACTTGAAGGCTCAGGTGTCTACAATTCCATGTGCCCTGGCATCAAGGAGAGAGTACTCCTGAAAGGTGCTTGGACCAGAGTCTGGCTTAGGGCCTGGCCATCCTGGGGCCGGGCTTCCGTTTACCTTCATTACTCGCCCTGCAAATCTCTACTTGAGCACATCCACGCTTAGCTCTTCCCAGAGTCAGGAGCCTTGGAGGATTGGTGACGCCTCTGCTTCATCTAAACTCAACAGAGCTGGTCATAGTTCCCTCTGCCAAAGCCTGTTAGCCAGTCAGCAATTAAAGGCCGACTCTTCATTGTTATGGATTAATATATCCACCCACACAGGAATGTTTGGGAAAAAAAGCAATCCTTCTGGATTCTTGAGGGGCTGTTTCTAGAATGAATAGTGAAAATGTTCAACTATGTTCTAGAGAAGAAACAGCTCTTAAACCAATAAAAATACAAATCTTTCAGAACCACTAGTGGGTGGAATCCAGGAAACCCTGCAGCTCACAACAATTTAGTGAAGCAATCAATGTCCTGCTTCACAATTTTTAAATACATCTCTATGCTCCAAGAAGCCAACCAATACAACCAGAGTCTCAGTGCCGTTGGCCTAACAGGCACTGGGCAGTGAGGAACTTGCACAAGGCTTGCCCTGACTTTCCTTAACACACACAAAAATCCCTTCCAGGCTACCACTAGGGTGCTACACCACCCGCAGCGGCCTCCTAGGAGGTTCACAGGCGGCCAGTGTGTTTCACTGGTTCTTAAAGCAGCCGCTGGCTCTCATCGATAATTTGTAGTGTTATTATGCAACTTTCTTCCTGTTCCTACTGGGGCTCCCGGTATCCTGCAACAGCCCTCTGCTAAGGAGGCTCTGTAAGTCGGGTATGGAAACAGCCTTTCCCATGATTGGTAGACCTAAGAGCAAGATGACACTTCACACCGATTACCATCAGGCCTCATCTCTGCAAATGCGACAGTCACCCATAGGCACCGCAGTAATAAAATGTTCAGTAAGTTCCCCCAGCGGCTCTGGGCTGTCTGACTTCGCGGTTTTGATTGTTTATGACTGCATTTTGATTGACTTTACAGTTGGAGTCTTTTCCCTTGCTTCTCTGCCCTCAAAGGACACAGCACCCCAGAGCTGTTTGGTGGGCGACAATGGGGAATCTAGAACTCGACTCAATGCTTTCCCCTTAGCGATCCGCCAGCGAAAGGTGCGGGCGCCCGGCCAGGACGGGTGCGATTCGCTCGCGTTTATCAAATCCTTATCGGTGCCCTGAGGTGGGAGTCGTCGCTTTCGACCAGAGGATACACTGTTCCTGGCTCGGGTCCCTAAGTGGAAGTCCAAACAAAAGCCAATGTGCTCTGGGGTCGAGTCCTCAACGCAGTCCTTTCCATCCTGCCTGCGGATCTCCCGCGGCTCGCGCCACTCTGCCGTCACGCGTTCGATTCTGGCCACCCTAGCCAAGAAGGTGCGCAGCCTCAGTGTTAGACGCTCTAGCCCAAGGCTCGCACCGGTCAAGACAGGAGCAAAGGACCAGGCGACCAGCCACAAACTTTTGCAGGAGGCGAGGGTGTACCCAGGGCTGCGCGGCCGCATGGTGCGCTCCCACCCAGGCTCGGAGAGAGCCCGGTGTCCCTGATCCGGGGCTGATTGAAGGGAACGCTAGAACAGCGCCAGTTGGCCGGAGTTGCCTCTCGCCCAGTGCGTAAGGCTCGCCAGGGCAGGCCTTAGTGGCTGCCCTTCTCTGTCTTCTTCAGATACTTGGAGAGGCCCGGTGTCGCCGTCCTCTCTCTGCACACTAAGACACCTGCCCCCGCAGGGCAATCCAGGTCACTACCCACTCTCTGGCGGAGTCTAGAAGCAGGGCGAGGGAAGGGGGTGTTCTAAAACTTAAGTGCGTTCGGGAACAGGGCACTTGGCCGCATTCCGGCTTCTCCGACCAGGGCGCGCCCCCGAGTCGCGCTTTGCCCTCTGTCCCTTGCTAGTTTGGGGCGCAGAGCCCGCGTAGGAGAGTTCTCGGAAAGACCTGAAGGGTCTTAGGAAAAGAAAGGCGTGTCTGCTCAGCAGGTAAACCCCGAGAAAGTCGAGGGCATCAGCCCCAGAAACATTTCAAACCCCTGGCTGGGGAAGCTTGGTGCTCTGGGGACGACAGACTTTGGAAGGCGCCGCGGAAGCACCCCTGACCTCCAGGGCCACCTCTCCGTGACTCAAGGTCTCAGAACGATCGGGTTCGCGACTCTTTTGCGAAGCCGCAGCTGCGCGTCCTTAAAGCCCGCACCTGTTCGCTCAGCCACCCACCGCCACCTCCAGAGCGGTCCTCCGGCCTCCGAGACCTCCCGCACCCTCTCCCGCAAATGTCCCAGGTCGCGCCCGCCTCGCGCGGTTCCGCCACTGCCTGGCACCGAGTTGGTCGCCGGCTTCGACGCCCGCTTACCTTTTCTTCTCCTTGTCAGCTGTCATTGTCGCCGTGTCCCTCCGAGACCCGGAGCACCTGGGTTCCTTAGGCCCGTAGGGGCTGCAGCCGCTGCCTCTGCTGTGGCCCTCGGCGGCTCTCTGTGGCCCCGGCAGGTGTGAAAGGTCTTTAGTGCTCGCAGGTCCGAGTGTCCCGCACAATCAGGTGGAAGTTTGCGGACGCCTGGCTAGGTGCGGTGGAGGAGGGAGGAGAGGGGTGGCGGGGAGGAACCTGCAGGAGGAGGCGGGGCCGGGGAAAGGAGTGGGAGGAGGTTGTAAGACGCCAAAGGAGAGAGCAGCGATAGGGGACCTGAAGGTCCGTTTATCCGCAGACAGGGGTCAGTTTTCTGGGATGTCACAAAACAAAACCAACCAACCAACAAGCAAACAAAAACGATGGCTCGAAGAGAGCGCGTTGGAAGGAATCCGGGGTCAGGCGAGTGCGGCCGCTGAGATGACCATACAGTCTCAGGACACTGCCGAGGATTGTACGGCCGCCTCAGGAGAGCTGGAGCGGAACGCTGGGGACTCCGAAGCTGTGCACCGGCCGCTCTCGAATGTCCGGCTTCCTCGGCTGCCAGCCCACTTTAAAAACTCGGACGGCCCGCCCGCGGGAGGGCGCGAGGGGCGCGGGAGTCCCACAGCGGCCCGGGGGCGGGGAATGGGCGTGTCTAGGGCGGGGAGACAGTCAAGCTCCTCCCCCGCCCGCTGGCTGCCTCGTCCCGGCCAATGGCGAGGCGCGGCCACAGCCTCTGCCCTCGCCCGGGCCCGCCCCTTTCTCCCGGCTGTGCTCCTCTGGCGCTTGCCCAACCCTGCCTCCTCCTTCCGCAGATCGCCGACTTGTTTTTGTGGTCTGCTCAGTTAGCGCCGGGCTGAGTAGGGGCAGGGGTCGGCTACGGAGCCCAGACTGTGACTTCGCGCCAGTGTCCTCTCAGTAGCACATTTCCCCGAGAGCCAGGGCAGGACCGCGGGTCGGGGTCCCACGTGCCGCGGGGGCGTGCAGCGACACTCACAGGTGCTGCTAGGCGTCCCTGCCCCAGCTGTGTGGCTTCCTCTGGCAGGTGGGAATAATTCCCAGGACCCTGACTGCTTGCCAGCCTGGGCGGTGCGTTCTTTTTGGCGAAGGGCAGCTGACCTTGACTTCTGAGTCGGGAGAGGCAGGAGGGGAAAAAGGTGCGGGAGAAAATGTGGCAAAAATAATAAAAATAATAATTGTCTAGGGTTGCTCCTGCGGTGTCTTTTCCTCAACCTCAAACTGTGGGTTGTATGAGGTGCCTGCAGTAGGCTGTTAGGTTATTGCGCATACTAGAGAAGAGGGCTTTGGAGTTCTCCCGCCTGCCTTTGCCAACTCTCAATAAATAACCCAGCATCACCATGGGTTCCCTGGTGTGATCTTGGGGGTGAGCGTTGATAGAACACCCCAAGTCACTGGATCTGCCCTCTAGAGCTCCAGGGTTATCGAATGATACCACCACCTGCTGAAAGTGGTGGATCCCCAGTCCCTCAGGAGCAGGCGGAGAGCTCTTTCGACCTTTTCCACTGTGAGGTGCTCCTGCCCTGACACTTTCTCATTTCCTGATTAGGTAACCCGGGGGAGATCTCCTGCAAGAACAAGCGAGGCCTGGGGGAAAAGCCCCAGGGCTTCACATGTGTGAATTCCCCAGGAAGCAAGCACCTGCAAAGCTAGCCGTCCTGGGACCCAAATCCCCTACTTACTGCATCATTCTCTCACCAACGTTTCCTAGTAAAATTATTAGCAGAAACGGGGTGTGTGTCGGGGTGGAGGGAGCAGATCTTGAGTTTGCATAGGTACACAGAGAGAGGGGCACTCTTCAGGCATTTTTCTGGAGACTTGGGAAGGTATCCGAAGGAACCCAGAGAGTAGAGAAATCAGGAACGAGAGACACTCTACTTGAGAACTTGGAGAACAATCGACATACCTGACTGGGATCTCAAAGACCATTCATTTGTTTCACTCAAAGAAGCTGGTGGGTGATTTCCTACGGCACTTCTCCATCCAGACAACCCTAGTGGACCCATTTATTTGTCTTAATGAGAAATGCAAATTATTAGACATGGTTATAATAAACTGTAAGCATATTTACATCACTTGAGACTGGAATAGAGGAAGGGGGGAGAAAGTCATAAAAACAATTAAAAAAAAAACAAGTACTTTGGCAGCATCAAAGTGCCCCGAATCCTGAGCTGTGCCTGACAGGTGACTAAGCAATCCCTGTAACCCGCAGGGGATGTTTCAATAGGTTATGAAATTCGTTTGGGAGATTTTTAAGAGGAAAGGAAGGACTTGGAGGTGCAAGCCTGTGTGGGGCCCTGGGTTCAATCCCTAGCAAAGGATACTACAAAAGTCACTCAGGAGCACAGCAGCCACATTAATGCAGCCCCTCCCTGTGCCAGCACCCCCTCTTTCTAACTGGGGTTTTAACCTATACATGAAATGGGCCTATAGGATTCCTAGAAGGCCCCAGCCCTGCACAGAGCAGAACCATCTGGTCTACCTAAAGTCTCTTAACATGTCTTCCAGAATTCAGTCAACAACCTTTGTACGGAGATAAGAGTGTAAGCCAGTTACAACATTCTTTGCAGTTTTAACATCCATGGAGACCTAAAAGGGGGGACAAGCTTGAAAATAGATGGTAGGGGTGGGGGAGTAGCGCCCCTGGCTTTAGAGAAATCTCTCTAGAGGCACTGATGTTAGGGCCACAGACTAGCAGAAGGTATCCTGAAGGAAAGCTTAAAGGCAGCACAGATGACCTATCCCTTAGGAAACCATCCCCACCCGTGTGTGTGTGTGTGTGTGTGTGTGTGTGTGTGTGTGTGTGTGTGTGTGTGTGTCCTGTCTCTTGGCTCCCCACTGCACTGCTTGGAGTCAACAGCTGTGACATCAAGGGACTGCCTACTTGTTTTAACAAGGGATGTGCCTGGGCCTTTGGTTCCCTCCCTTCTGTGTTGAGTGTCCCATTAGAAGGATGAGCTGTTGACAAAGGCTAACTAACCCTGCAAGCCTACAGAGAGCAGCTACTTGGGATGTAGCAGGAAGGTGTGAGGATGACTCAGGAATCCTGTCAGAGTGACAGACACGACCCAGGATATGGTTTGTAATCAGGTTGGAGTGGCTAGGACTTAGCAGAAGAGGCCATAGAAGGCTGGGCTATTGCTGTAGTGTTTGACAGACTTTCAGCTCCTTGCCACAATATGGTCGAGGAAGAGAGACAAGAATGACCCCTAGGACTCAGAAATGGAAGGAGATACTCAAAGTCACAGAAACTTGCACTTGCCACTGTCCTGTGAGTACACTGTCTCAGGTGACAGCCCTCTGATTGCAGGCTGACCATTTAGTTGGTTTGAAATTGTTAGGGACAAGGGAGTTAGTAGAGATGGGAGGAAGAGCTAGCTGGGAGAGGTCATTGCTCCTCCCCTTGACAAACCTTTCTGACTCACCCCCAAGAGTTAATCTGCATTATCAATTTGACTGGATTTAGAATTACTTTGGAAACGCAACTCTGGGCTTGTCTATGAGGGTGTTTCCAGACTCTATGAACTGGAAACCCAGAAACCCAGACTATAAAAAGGAGGAAGTGAGCTGAACACGGCATTCATCTCTCTCTCTCTCTCTCTCTCTCTCTCTCTCTCTCTGGTTCCTTGATGTAGCTGCCTCATGCCATCACCACATTTCACCATTACACTATCCCCAACATGATGGCTGGTCCCCTCAAACTGTGATCTAAAGGAAACCCACTCTTTCTTAAGTTGCTTTGGTCAGTTATCTTGTCACAATAACATGAAAGGTTTTTACTTTTACTCAAATAGGCATCCACCCCTACACACACACACACACACACACACACACACACACACACAGAGCTGCATTCCAAATAAAACCAACCTATTCTGTGACTTTACAAAACAAAACCTTATTTTTTTTCTGTTTGTTTTGCTTTGTTTTTCGAGACAGGGTTTCTCTGTATTGCTTTGGAGCCTGTCCCAGAACTTGATCTGTAGACCAGGCTGGCCTCAAACTTACAGAGATCCACCTGCCTCTGCCTCCTGAGTGCTGGGATTAAAGGCATGTGCCACCAAACCAACTTCAAAACCTATTTTCTATTTTCAACCTCTACCTTGAACTCTGGTACCAGACTATCATCCTCTTGTGTGTGACTCTTGACCAACATCCTGAGGTCATTTCCTAGACACGTGCTATATATGTTATTAAACATTATGACTTCTGGCCCATATACTCAGGATTTGTTGTCATTCTAAAGAGGTTCTGTGATTTTATTCGATTAAGTGACTCCTGATGGAGCTATTTGATTACACCAATCCCACTACTGCTCCTTTACACCTGGATTGTCAGTGACTTAGAGGCCAGTAGCTTCTCTTGATGGGTCTAGGTGTAGCAGTTTCTACCCATGTCATTTAGCCAATGGAGGAGTCATTGATCCACAGTCACTCTGCTGTGCTATTCCATGGCAGACAATACGCCAGGCTAGTTCCCTCCCTCCCAGGAGACCCAGCCCATTTGTACAACACTGTCTGCCTTAGATTATGAATGTACATTTGCTCACCCTTTTAAGACGTTTGAAACCAGTAGACAATCTTTAAGTGATAATACTTTTTGTTTCCTCACAATAGTTTTTAAATTGGTGAATGAATATATTTACCAATGGTACTGGTAAATTGTACTGGTTAGTTAGGGTGTATGTGTGTGTGTGTGTGTGTGTGTGTGTGTGTGTGTGTGTGTGTGTGAACTTGACCCAAGCTAGAGTCCTTTGGGAAGAGGGAAGTGCTACTGAGAAAATATTTCCATCACAGTGCCTTTTAGGCAAGTCTGTAGGACGTCTTCTTAATTAATGGTTGGAGGGCCTAGCCCACTGTGGGTGGTACCATGCCTGATAAGGTGGTCCTGGGTCATATAAAAAAAGTGAGATACTCAATCGTGGAGAGCAAGCCAGGAGTCAGCGCTGCTCCATGGCCTCTGCCTCATTTCCTGCCTCCAGGTTCCTGCCCTGTGTGAATTCTTGCCTTGGCTTCCCTCAGTGATGGTCTGTAATCTGGCTCAATGCATAATCCAAATAAACCCTTTCCTCCAAAGTTGCTTTTGGTCATGGTGTTTATTATGGCAAAAGAAAGCAAACTAGGTCAATAATGAATATACTCTTGAGACTCTCTTAAATATGAAAACTGAGTGCAAACCATATTCTCTCTGCAAAAGAGCTATGTAAGAATTTGGTTGTGTTGGGTGGGGGGGTGAAAGAGAATGAAAGGCAGGAAAATCTAGGATCCTAGCTGTGTCCACTCCTAGGACAAGGAGAGGCTCAGCCTGGACTGGCCAGGCTTGTGGGTTTGACATGTGAGGTGCTAAAGTAACGCTCACTTGAGAAGGATGGCCAGTAGGAAAGAGATGTTAGCCCCACCTTGGAAAAAGCATGCACATAAATGAAACTTCTCTTGTCACTAAAAATGATGATGCTGGGTCCAACCACCCCTGCCCAGAGACTGGGTGACAAAAATGACACAGAGTAGGGGTTAGAGTGACCCCCAGCTAGTTGGAGTA